CCCCTTAAAAAAAAAAAAAAAAAAAAAAGTGCCGAAATGTGCACCTCTGCCTACCCCTTCGGGGATAAAAAGGCGTGATGTTATGTTATGTTATGAGATGTTATCCAAGTTCAGACCAAAGATCTAATTATCACTGAAGGAGATGAACAGATTACTACAGAGTCATACTGGTCCCAATATTCACGATATTGTTTACATGTCAGTGTGTGCCACATGGCGGCGTGGTGTAATGACATGTAACAGTGTTACGTCAGTTACGTGGCGGTACATGTGTTGCGGAAGTGTCGCACAAAGCAAGGTCGATGCCGGCGCGGCCGACTCGGGCCGGTATCGAACTGTCAATCTACTCATGAATGTATCAATAACAATGCAATAATAAATCCCTTCTTTTTTATGATATAAGCTGGTAAACGAGCAGACGAATCACCTGATGGTAAGCAATCGGCGTCGCCTGGAACACCAGAGGCGTTACAAGTGCGTTACCGGCCTTTTGGGGATTAGGAGTTTGAGGATCGTTGGGGATTCAGGAATTGGGGAAATTGGCGATGGGGAGGGTAATTGGGCCTCCGGTAACCTCACTCATACGACCAAACACAACGCAAGTGTTGCTTCACGTCGGTTTTCTGCTCGGCCGTGGTATCACTCCGGTCGAGACGGCCCATTCGTGCTTAAGCATGGCTCTCCCACACTTATTCCCATTTCTAACAAGAAGCGACTATAATATGGTTTGTATTGATTACTATTATCATTTTAATTTTAAACAATATACGTCTCAGCCTAGTGCTCTATTTCCCATGTGTTTGAACGCCTTCGTGTTTGTCTTCGAAGTCAATCCGTGCCGTTTTGTGGAAATTAACTACGTTATTATAAGCTGCGTGCAGCATGGAATCAAAGGTAAAGGGTAGCACTAGTGACTCCTAGGGAGGTTTGGTAGTCGCGGAGAACCTAACGGGTAACCGGGGCTCCGGCTCGACGTGCAGGAGAAGGAACGGGGTGGTTTTTAGTCAGTAAGTGTCTGACACTCCCTCCCGCCTCACCCAGACGGGAGCAGTCATCTGATGATTTTCCCCCCTTAAAAAAAAAAGAGTGGTTTGGTCCTTTCTGAAATACTGAGCATCTAAGAGACGTAATGTCCATGGTAACAGTACAGCAAATAACGTGTACTAGGCACTTGTGTGGACAGTTACGTGCGGGTGCGGGTGAGTGCACCGTCTTGACATTAGCGCCACTTATAGCGCACCGCGCGCCGAGGCACTACATTGCGACACTCCACACATCTCATCACACGACAATACTCTCTATATCAACACGCGTATGATTCAGTTTTAATTAGCTGGTATAAAATCGGGTTATCATCAGTCCCACACGCATTGTTTATTGCTATTTTATGACGTGAGCTTTAATATTGTTATAGTTTAGTATTTGGTCAGTGATTACATTCCAGTGCGAACTGTCCCGATGTAGTGGAACCGAGGTCTAAGTCTATACCAACAAGCGTTCCTACTAAAACGAGCACTAACAAAGTCTACAGGAGATACTACTATGTTATAAGTACAGAATTGAGGCATTGCCGGAGTCCCAATTAACACCCCCCCCCCATCAATCCTCAAATTCCCAATTTCCAAAGGGCCGGTAACGCACTTGTAACGCCTGTGGTGTTCCATGTATCCATGGGCGACGCCGATTGCTTACCATCAGGTGAATAAATTGCTGTGGATGTGGTCAAATATTGATCAATAAGTACATTAGATCCTCATTTGCCCAATAAGACACTACTAACTACTATCCTCTGACTAAACTATCGGCATTATTCTTCTTCTTCTGCGATCCCCAAACAAACTGCCAAATGTGGTGATTATGACAAACCTCTGCTTAAGAAGACTTTACTTCAAAGGTTATCCTTATAGCTTATCCTTTCGGGGATGAAATGCGTTATGTTGTGTTATGTGGACGTGGTCTACCTAATGATTCCTTAAGCAAATTGCCAAGCATGCCAATCGTGGGTGGGGATTATGGGTTTTGTTGAAAGTGCCATAGTCTGACTAATGACACGTAACAATAAGTCATCAATGAACATGATCTCGAGCCTCTGTGCCCGGTCCACGGTATTAAGCTGAGCTCCAGCCTTTTGCGCTGCGACGCGCCATGGGCTTTTTTTAGGTGTTTCTAAATTCTTGTTGTGTGTCGTATCAAAATAAATAGTTTTTCTTTCTTTCTTTCTTTCTTTCTAACATTGTTTAATGATTCACAATCATTGAGTGACGTCATACTGCTCAACTGAGAACATTAACTTGACACATCACCTTCATAAAGTACATAGTATTAGTTCAGCATACATTGCTCAGTAACTCTGCTTCATAGCGTTTGACTGCGGAACAAATGCGGCAGTGTACACTGTATAGCGGCGCGGGGTCATCGACAGGCGAAAGTGAAACGGAGTCTGAATGCCGAGTACTGAAGTACTAGTGGAAATTGACCGTCGGATGTGCTACAAGATCATACAATACAAGACCACCATATACTGGTTTTGCTTAGCTTTATTAGTAGCTGTGCGTACAAAGCCAACCCAATGGCCAGTGGTCAGACCAAGTGTACTATATAGTGGATGACCGACACGCGAACTACTGGTAGATTACATTTGGTTTAATAACTGGGATAATTGTATGACAAACATGAATCAGTTTGATACAGAAGATTATTATCTACAGCTCCACAGATGTTTAAGTCCACATGATTAAATAAAAGCTCTTAATATAGCATCAGAGGTTTGACTAGTCAAAAAGCAGACAGAGATACATTGATGTACAGAAGCACCCACTATGGCAGTTGTTATTATGAGACCATAGTTTTACTTTGGACACCATTCCAGTCCAGACTCCGTGCTACTACGGAACATTTCCAAAAACCAAATAACTCCACAACACAACCTGGCAATCAAACCTAAGACCTATGATCCAGGATACTTGCAACCACTTGTCTAATGCCATACATACAAACAATCATCTGAAGACAGCCACAAGTCACCACAAGTCCCCTGTAGTCTGTAGTGTACCACTCGTGACTCGACATCGCAGCGACTAGTGGACTACTCGACTCAGTTGTAACTGTAGGGTCATTCGCCCGCGGTGGCGGCGCGGAACAGCGCGACAACCCTACCGAGACAACTATTGTAAATGCAACCTTATTTACTAAGGACAATACCCATAATTGTCTATCAACTGAAATAGAAATGGATGCATTTGATTATAAACTTTGTATTGACCTGAGATAAGGTATAGAATCGATTGTGACTTGTAGTTTGATCTTTTTCTTAGAGATCCGTGTAGTAAGTACACTTGGAACTTGTCCAAGCATTGAATAATATCTTACATCAGATAATATCGTCGGGAGGACAACCAATCACTGAATAAACGAGTGTTCGCTTTGACTCGATACATTTGATCACATTGCGCTAACTTGGTAAACACAATGTCACAGATCAACTTGTGGTCGACCACGCAGCGAGGCTCGCAGTTCGTTTTATTTGAAAAAAAAAAGAATTAGGTTTTATAAATGTTGTAGTGTTGTGGGTGATTTTAACTCGTCGAGTACCGGTTTTGTAGACACAATTATAGAACAATAGGTTGCGGTCACCGGTGGCCGCTTGGTGTTTGACAGTTTAAACCACTTACACTTGAGTGCCAGACCCGAAACAACAATTGGAGTTCACAAAGTATTGTGCAGAACCGATTACCCAACCGCTGCACTTGCAGTTTCACGAACAATCTCCCGGTCACGAGTCACGAGTCACGACACGACAGTTCTGACTAGCCAGTATAACCTCCAAGACAAGCCGACACATGCAGTTACTAAGCAGTCATTACCAATTCTGCACACATAATGGGAAGCAACGATACACGACTGCAGCTGCAACGAGTGGAATGGCATAGCACGCACAGTCAGCAGTCAGCAGTCACTACCGACAGCATCGACAGTCGACAGTCGGACAGGCCAACAGTTCGGAAGTGTACACGGTTGCATAAATTCGTTGTATAATGATAAGTCAGCAGGATGTTGGTTAGTGCAGTGGCTGAGAGGGAGACCGGTTGCTTTGTCATTCCAGTTCAAGGGGGATGCGGAGGTCCAGTTTAGGGTCCATAAGTCTTAGGGCAACAAAAGTGACTGGAGTATGTAGCTGCAGTGTCTTTGTAAACGTGAAACAACGCTTGCGTTGTGTGTTTGAGGTTACCGGAGGCCCAATTATCCCCCCTCCCCAGTCTCCCCAATCCTCGAATCCTCCACAATCCTCAAATTCCCAATTCCCAAAAGGCGGGTAACGCCTCTGGTGTTTCAGGTGTACATGGGCGACGCCTGTTGCTTACCATCAGGTGATCTGTCTGATCGTTTACCGGCTTATGACATAAAAAATGTTTATCAAATAGATTTTGCTCTCAGTTCAAATAGGTAGAGTAGAGTAGTAGTCAGTAGATACTCTGAGACAGGTGACTGACCTACGGCCACGTGATAAAGTTAGCCATGCTGTGCATGACAATGGGCTGGTGACACGCGCGACACACTGGTCACAGCGGACATATCGGCCACACGGGGCTGGGCTTGTACCGTGAGTGGGACACAGGGCGGGGTTACTGTTTAGTGCTGTCATGACACTCAGCAGAAATGAAAAAAATATGTTTACCTACGAAATGTTTCAACCATGTCTAACTTTGGGTTACAGTGTGAGAACGATGCCATCTTCAGAACATATCGCTATTCTTTTTCTTTTTTTATTGAATAGGAGGTAAACGAGCAGACGGATCACCTGATGGTAAGCGATCAGCGCCGCCCATGGACACCCGCAACATCAGAGGAGTCACAGGTGCGTTACCGGCCTTCTAACTGTTAGGCAAGTAACAAGAATTTATTTTTCACCCTTTCAATAGTTTGTTACATCATGTCCTGTGGTTAAAGCAACAAAACTGACTCAAGGCGGCCAAAATAAAACGTTTATAAGTTTTTGTTCACCTGTGTATATCCTCTAACAGCAAGTCATAGCATAGATAATTAGTTTCCTTCGGAAGTACATCGGAGTCCCAGTACAATGCTGTGACCTGGCGCACCCACTCGCCCAGCTCGCTGCCACCTGTTATCGACCCGGTACTCCACAAAACATCGGCAACTCATCGTTTGACCGATTTACGAGCAATCGATGTCAACATTCTGGAACGAATATTGTATTGGCGGAGTGTATGAACACTGAACACGTGGTGACGATATTATAATAATACGTAACTACTCTAGACACGTGGTATCAAGTACAAGTACAAGTGCTGTATCAGACTGTCAGACAGGCAGCTTGCGACTTCTCAAGGAGGATCGATGGCGATACGCCGCCAGACGACTGTCTTGTTTTCTTTTACCGAGTATTTTTAACTATCTTTCTTTTGAGCATTGGGTGAGGCGAGCGCGAGAGAGCCATACCATCAGGTGATCTGCCTGCTCGTTGGCATCCTATTCCATGAAAAAGAGCTCCGGTAGGTAACCCGTCAAGTTGTCTGCAGCTCTGGGCTTTTAACTACTTACTTTTTATAAGTAAAGGAAGAGTTTAAAATACTTATTATAAAAATCATTTATGACTGAGGTATAGCTAACGTTACATCGACTGTGTCCATATACAATGTGTCGTAATGTTGTAATTGTAAATAAGACGTGCGTTCATGTATCAATGTCTGGCTCATGTAATATTCATTGATGGGATGGAGGCGCTCGTGGCACTCGACCAGTCGTCCAAGCCGTGTCACCTTCACACACGGAGCATACAACCAATGGAGAACTGAACAGAACTACGCTGAAATACATCTGTACTCTGCAACTGTGTTGTTTGTAGCAGAAAGAAAACTTTACGAAATATTAAACGGTGAACTAAACTCAGTAGTGTTCACTCAACGTTAGATCATCGCAGTAGGCACAGAGTCAAAACATTTATATGCAAGACAGGACTGGAGAGGAGAGGAGTGTTAGAGAGGCCTACAGTTCATTATGTGGCAAAAACTAAGGTTCAAATACCTAGTTAAATAACTAACCTAAGCCACCAGATATAATTACAATATGAATAGACGAGCAATGCAGTCCACGGTGTCAGTACTCCGCGCTGTAAGTGGCGGCTCATTAGGTATCGGTCGCGTGTCGCGTGCGTCACGCACTCATTCAATAATCTATTACTTACTACCTACTATATGTATACGAGTATATTGTATATCACTGTCTAATGTAATGTTTAACTACCGTCGCCACCATCGGTCACCTACAAGCAACTCGCTACTTACGTAAACACACCAATGTCAGAGTGTAACGTAAAGAACAGAATACAGGGTGTAAACGCTTCCGAAAACGCCGCCTTTTTCTTTTGTCAAAACTGTTTTAATTACATAAAAGTAAGGTATTAAATATTCGTTTTATGTTGTTATAATAATATTTATGATATCCTGCGGGGTGGGATAGATAGCAGTGATCTCTTGTCATGCGTTGAATTCTGCACGCACAGGTGTCGAACAAGACATACTCACTTGCTTAGTATACCCTCACATCGTACGAATTATGGGAAAAATGCTGTTATGACTCGACTACCTCGCATTTACACAGAGAAGTTTGAGAGTGTGGATATATTTAATTTGTCAAAGGTATCCTTTCGTAAGTCGCTTATACAAATACTCACTAGTGCGTGACTTTTATAACATTATTATTCTTCTTAATTATTGCTTTATAAAAAAATGTCCTTGATTGTTTAATTTTATTTTATATTGCTCACTCTCCTACTTTTACCTAACGCATGCTGAAAAACTCTGTTATTGGCTTAAGTTTCCATGCCTTGTCATTATTATAGATGTAGCATTTACTAAATAAGCTGTTGAGTTTTCTGTAATAAAAATAAATAAAATAATTGTTGTAATCGACCGCCATAGGCTAATGTTGGATGAATAAGACGAAAATAAAAACGATAAAATTGCAAAAAACATGTATTTGTCAGCGTTTCGGAAGGGTAAGTTTACACCCTGTACCTATTTTTTTAAGGGGGGAAAATTATCGCATTGCTGCTCCCGCCTGAGTGAGGCGGGAGGGAGTGTCAGACTCTTACTGACTAAAAACCACCCCGTTCCTTCTCCTGCACGTCGAGCCGGAGCCCCGGTTACCCGTTAGGTTCTCCGCGACATCCTGTACCTATATAGGACGCAATCAAATATTCCAATACTTACAAGTAAAAGTTTCATACTCTGTAAACGTAGGTTATGTTTTATAAGTGTATATGACTAAAAGTGCGTATATTTCTATTGATTACCTAGATCTATGGATTCTCTGCACATGCAATTACAACGAATGAAGTAATTTCTACAAGCAGTAGTCTTGCGCAGATGCAGTCGGACATCAAATACCTAGCCATTATACCACCATAAAATGGGTAATGATTACCATATACAAGTAATTACTGAGTTTATACGCTTGTCTCCCATCCTGTATCGACGCATCCGTTTTGTACATAATATTACACAAACACACAAACAATAATACCGTGGATGTTGCACTCGTACCGCACACATACACACACACACACGTCTTATATAAATAGCGTGCCGCACGCACACCACCGTAGCAAATGCAAATGGCAATACATCAGAATCGATAGAAATACATAAATATTTCATACGTAGTAGGTAAAGCTTGGTACGGTTGGTGCGGTGGCTGGGCAACCGGCTGCCGTGCAACGTGTCGCGGGTTCGATTCCCGCACGGAACAACACTTTGTGTGATCCACAAGTTGTTGTTCCGGGTCTGGGTGTCATGTGTATGTGAACTTGTATGATTGTAAACGCATCTACGACACAGGAGATAATCCTAGTGTAGGGCAACGTTTTATTTGCAATCACAACTGAACAGTGAATGAAGTTGACCTGAACTGGGTGAAACGCCATAGTTCCAAAGGATTCAATAGCAGACTCTAGCCATTCCTTGTCAGAGTCGGCACCACAACATAATATACACTGCAGATGTTAGAGAACAGAACAGCTCTCCAATTAGTTTCTTCTAACTTACGACATCCCAGTACTTTATATATTTGTCAAATAAATTCTATACTATATAGCTTCCTTAAGCGAAGGCTCATCCCAGAGTCCTCAACTAATCTTCAACTTTATGGTTTCTAAATAAAAATATTGTATAGTCAATAACTGTTACTAAGAACTACTCTGGAAGTTTCTCACAATTCTACCATAAAACAGAGAGCTAAGAAAAATTGACTCCAAGTTGTGTGAGAATCATTCAACAACTCATACATCTTTATGGTCCTTCGAGCCGGATTCAACCAACGACATCATCAGGTACGAAGTGCTTCTATCTACGATAGCGAATCGGTTTGGCTGGTCTTCCACAAGCGGATCGCCCCAGTCAGATTGAGAAGGCGCACATATCGTAGTAGAAAATACTTCTGATCCTGAGATCATCATACCCCGGCAACAAAACAAGAGTTAACTGAAGCTCAACAACAACATTGTCAAAAGTAAATTCACAAACTCGAAGTTTTTATCACTCATCTTTCAACATGGAGGGAGCGATTGAAACTCAATATCAAATCATGCAAGCCATGAACACCGTCCTGACAAACTTCAAAAAGGACGGACCTAGCCGCAAAACAACTACGAATATTAAGAAGAAAATAGACCTCCTCGACAAGTATTGGGCTGAGTTCCAAAACAATCACGAAAAAATTAGTGAGAGGGAAAATCTTACTCATCCTTATTTTGCACAAGATTCTTATGAGCAGACTAAGGAATTCTATAATAGCACTCGTGAATACTTAGTGAAGTATTTAAACCTAGACCAGAAACCAGTGTCTCCAATTTTGAAGTCATCTGCTTGGACATATGACCCAACACCGTCCACTTCACATGTGGCAGCATCAGAACCCATTCAAGAACAAGGTGACGAGGGACAAGAAACCACGCCGCTTACAATAAAGGTGCCGGAAGTAGCAGAGCCCGAGACCAACAGCAAGGTAGGCGAGATGTTACGCAAGCAAAGAAGCAACATCAAAGCTTTTCAAAGAAACGCGTCTAATATCAACTTAGACGTTCTTAAAGATAAATGGCAGTTTGAAGATGCCTTAAAGGTATTAGAATTAAGATGGAAAGCAGTGGATACCCTTTATTGGGAGCTTGATAGTTTACCCAATAATACCGACATACAATATGAAATGTCATACAACACTTGCGAAATTATTTACAACGAAATGAAGACGAAAATCAACTCAAAAATGTGGTCAGTTTCACATCGAGAAAAGTCTACACCGAAGATTGAAATTCCAACCTTTAATGGAAGTTATTTATATTGGACGGCATTTAAAGACTTGTTCGTCGAAACTATTCACTCCAATCCATCTCTCTCGAATGCCCAGAGAATGCAGTTTCTCAAAAGTAAAGTTAAAGGAGAAGCTGAGAAACTTATTCAACATTTATCAATAAGCTCAGAGAATTATGAAGCAGCTTGGGAGATCCTCAATCACCGGTACAATAACAAGAAATTGATATTTTCCTCGCACGTCAATGCATTACTAAGTGTACCCAACACCCAAAACTTATCAGCAACATCAGTCAAACGGCTTCACGACACGACTAAAGAATGCCTGAATGCAATTAAGAACCTTGGCGTCAACACATCGTCATGGGACCCATTGATGGTCCATTTATTGGCACAAAAACTGGATCCAATCACTCATAATGACTACTCAGAGTCATTAGACGACCCGCGCGAGTTACCGAAAATACAAGATTTTCTTAACTTTCTGGAAGGCAAGTTTGTATCATGGGAATCATCTCGTCGCAAACCAGAGTCAGCAAGAACATCATATCAACCAGAGACAGTACATAGCAACAAGAAATTTCACAATTCATACAAAGCATTCAGTACACATCATCAAAACGTGAATAATTATTTCAAATCGAATGCATATGTAAATGATAATGAGGACAGTACAAAATGCCCACATTGCAATCAAGAACATAAATTATATTCGTGTAAAACATTTCTCGAATTACAACCCGAAGCTAAACGGAAGGCAGTTGCGAAATATAATTTATGCAAAAACTGTCTGCAAGCACATCGCAACGAATGTATGTCACGTAAAAGATGCCGCGTCTGCAGCGCTGATCATAATACCCTTCTTCACGACGCATATAGTAAAGGAAACGGGCAGACATTAAACCATCGATCAGCACATCAAAATTCAGTTACTGACAGCAAAAACAAAATCAGTAACAGCAGCAGCAATCATGTATCTCAAGAAGACCTATCAGAAACTTTGCTTACAACAGTATTGATCAAAGTAAAGGCATATGATGGGACACTGATAGTGTTAAGAGCGCTTCTAGACCAGGGTTCTCAGACATCCCTAATAACGGAGAGAGCAGCCCAGTTGCTAAAATTGCCGCGCAACCGATGCAAGGGTGTCATATTCGGCGTCGGAGCGACGGAAAACAAATGCAAAGGTATCATAACGATCACGTGTAGCGCCATTCACAATGACTACACGTTTGACACCAATGTGTTTATCATGCGCAATTTGGTGAATAAACTGCCCAATAAATCATTCAAAATACCAGAATCATGGACATTTCTGGAAAACATATCATTAGCAGACCCGGAATTTTATGTGAGTCGTCCCGTAGACATTCTGCTTGGAGCCGAGATATACTCGAACATAATTCAAGAGGGTATCATCAGGCAAAATAAGTCACATCCAGTAGCACAACAAACACGCTTGGGCTGGATTTTATGCGGAAACGTGCAAACCTTTCATTGCAATGTCGTAATCAATAACACAGACGACATTCAGAAATTTTGGTTAATTGAAGACATAGCAGAAAATTCAACTATGTCCCAAGACGATTTAGACGCCGTACAATATTACAAAGAAACGACAACTCGCAATGAAGATGGTCGCTACATTGTGAAAATACCATTCCAAACGAACTTTCAAGAAAAGTTGGGAGAGTCTAAATCTATGGCATTAGCACAGTTTCGTTCACTTGAAAAGAAGTTATGCAAACAACCGCAGCTAGCTGAGACCTACACCAACTTTATACAAGAGTATCAAGAACTAAAACATATGGTAGAGAGTACTAGTAACACAACACCGAATTGTTATTTACCTCACCATGGAGTATATCGCGCCGATTCGACAACAACTGCACTTCGAGTAGTGTTCAACGCGTCAGCAAAGACATCTACAGGCTACACGTTGAATGAACTCATGAAACGGGGTCCAAATTTACAGCAAGATCTCATGTCATTGATCTTACGATGGAGACAATATCAGTTCGCGTATACAGCAGATATTGAAAAAATGTATCGCCAGATACTTTGCAGCCGAGATCATCAAAAATACCAAAAGATATTGTGGCGGAGTTCTCCAAACCAGTCATTGCGTGAATATCAGCTTGCCACAGTCACCTATGGCATGAAAGCAGC